ATCATCAATAAAGACGACCTGACCCTTCAATTTAAATAAATTCGTGTTTATTTCTTTCATAGTTTACAACTTAAACTTTCTGTTAGCAAATAAGCTTTGTTATCCTAACGACGTAGTGTTTAGGCTTAACAACGGTATAGACAGTAAGTTATTTGATTACTAATTATCATTTATTTAAGAAATATACTAATTTACTATTTATAATTATTCAATATTTGACAATATAGAACGTAAGTTATTTATTACTAATTATTATTTATTTAAGAATAATTTATAAGAATATACTAAATTTACTATTGAAAATTATTCAATGTTTGATGATATAGAACGTAAGTTATTTGATTACCAATTATCATTTATTTAAGTATCATTTATATAATATATTAAATTTACTATTTAAAATTATTCAACGTTTGACGATATAGAACGTAAATTATTTTATCATTTATTCAAGTATCATTTATATAATATACTAAATTTACTATTTAAAATTATTCAATGTTTGACGATATAGAACGTAAGTTATTTGATTACTAATTATCATTTATTTAAGTATTATTTATATAATATACTAAATTTGCTATTTAAATTATTTAATATTTGATGATATAGTTGGTAAGTTATTTGATTACTAATTATCATTTATTTAAGAAATATATTATTGTGTATTTTAATTCATTAGATAATTAAATAAGGCAAATCTTTTTTTGTAAAAAAATTATAATTAAATATTTTAGATGGTAAATACTTATAATTTATGTTCCTGATATTATATATGACAAAGTTAAAAATAGAATCAGAGCTGTATTATGCAATTATAATTATTGCAAAAAAATATAAGAATTATTTTTTAATTTAATAATTGATAATAAATAGAGTTTTTTATAAAAGATCATTTGAGCCAAAAAAATTCAGATTGGCTCATTTCTATTAGCTCGAATGGAGAATATATCGTTATATTTAATCATGGTAATTTAAATTTATTATCATTTACATTATTGTTTCTGTAAATTAATTCTTCATATTTGTATTATAGGAACTATGGAGTTTAAAATTATTAAATATAGTCAATATGAAAAAATTTATAAGGCAAACTCATGTAAATTTGACGATCGTCACTTTGAAGAATATAAATCTCTATCTACAAAAAGTACATTTATGTTAGCAATATCAAATAATTTTGAAGTTAAGGAAGATAATTTCATTTTTGTTGCAATATCATGTATAATAGAAAAAGATGAATCCATAATTGATATTGATGATCAAACTACTGTTGATAATGATAAAAGAGAACAACCTTTGAATGGGAAAACGATTATCTATAAAGTAGTTTTAGATTCATCTAAGCAAGAAAAAATTAAACCATACAAAGAAGAAGAAATCGGTGGAATTGTTTCTTTTGTTCATGAGGAAAACAATTCTAGTAAAACAGATTGCTTTATCTTTAATGCAAACGGAATCTATAGACTCTCACTTTTTGGATTCAATAATATTTTTTTAAAGAGTTTTGAGCATTTCAATTATCCAAAAAGCCTTATGATTGAATTAAATACTTTATTTAAGAACAAATCTTATATTTTTCGAATTAAAAATTGTATTTTTGATCATTATTTTTATATCGAACAATATAGAGAAGGTATTCAAGTTATGCAATTATATGATTTAAGAACCATGCAAATACAACAGATTTTTAATATATATGAAGAAAAAAATTATTCAAATAAATATAGCAAATCCATATTAGCTATTTCAGAAAATGAGCAAATGATTGCTTTTTCTTCTGGATATGGAAAATTGGCTCTTTATTTAATAGAAAATGGACTAGAAATTATTCATAAAGATTTTGGAACAGATACAAAAATAATTGCTTCTGATTTTAAAGATGATAATAAATTAATGATAATCATTAAAAAAGCTAAACACGAGGGGATAAATATTTTACTTTGGAATTTATATACAAATGAATATCAATATGATATTCCATTAGATGAAGTTGATATTAGTATTTTTAATAGTGCAAAAATTCCTGGTAAATACGTATCTGTTAATGAATTTGGCAAAATATTATCATTATTTGAGAGTTTACATTTATTAATTAGTATGATAAAAGAAAATTATCATGCACCAAAATTTACATTATATAGTAGTGGCAAAAGAGTAAACTCTAATATGAATGTAAAAAAAATAGAACACAAAAACCATCTTGTTTTTCATCAAAATCGTTCAATAATCAAAGCAAAGATTCTTAAAGATAATTTTGAACCATGGATAACTGGTAATTATAACGAAATATGGGTATATCTTGATCCAAAGGAATCGATGCAGTTATATATTGGAAAATGTACTGTTCAAATATGGTGTAAAATCGAGAAAAATGAAAAATTTGTTCTTAAATATTTTTGGGCTAACGAAGATTATGAAAATAAATATTCATTACGGATATTAGAATTAGATATTTATAACAATGGTTTTTCTCTTAAACTAGAAGATAACATTCAGATTAAATGGTCTTATAACGATAAAGATGATATTAATTTAATGAGGCATGCTTGCGATGCCCTTGTATATCTAAATTATCAAAGATATCAATTAATCGGATATGAGAATCAGCATGGTAAATAATCAATTATTATTGTATTATTATTTTATTTTAAAAAAATATTTTTTTTTAATTAATAAATGCTAAGGTTTTACATTAATTTTCAGTATTTGAGGAGATTAAGTATAATATTTCTCTTATAATTTGGAGATTTATCAGAAATTATCCGGATATTTGGAAAGTGTTGGATATTCACTATAACCTTATGGCAAAAATCATAATTGGTGGAACAAATGCTCTCATTAAACGTATTCTATTTGGCGATGATAAAGTAAATCATAAATATTTGCATATACCAAGAATAACTCGATGGAATAGAAGCACTGAAGAAAATGATAAATTAGAAAAACCTACAAAGGAAAAAATTGATTTAAGTAAATTAAGTGATTTACAAATAGCTATTAAATTGTGTAAACCAGGTAATTCTATTATTGAAAATTTATAAAATTAAGTGTTTAATATTAATAAATAATTTTCTTTATAGATCTTGAAAGTAATCGCAGAATTTTGGTGGTAACTTATTTACTTGAATATTATACAAAAAATGCAACCGAACATCTTGGATGGTTAATCACTTTTTCAAAAGCATTACCAGATTTATATACATATAAATTAGGTTTGTATATTTTTTAAGATAATTTTTAACTTATTTATTTTAAAACTAATTTTTTTTTTTAAATAGAGTATTTTGTAAGCGAATTATTTTACAAAAAATGCATGGAAGGTATAGAAATATCAAATATTATTGATCATAGGGATATTATGCCTGATAAGTTTAAAATGAATTCGAATGCAAAAGTGTTCACAGCATTTAATCCAAATTCGAATCTTAAAGAAACAAGCGTGCCGAAATCCAATTTTGAAGCTTTAAGAAATTATTTGAAATTAAATTTAACAAAACTTTACGTTAAAATTTTTTCAAATGATTATGAAAGTTATTCTCCAATTGTAAAAATAGTTCCTTTACATAATTTTACTGTTAATAGTATATCTCAAAAAACTAATGACCATGAAGGTTCATTTTTTATCAAAATGTTGAAACTATTATTTATTCCTCGAAGCTATTTTGTTAATAATTCAGATAATGCAGAAAATTTTTCACAACTTAGTCCATTTGTTCGAATCATTAGATCAGAAAGTAATGATGACATATTTAATAACCCAGTTATGGAAGCTGTAATTAATTACAAATGGCGTCCAGCAAGAAATCATTTTCTTCGACTATTTTTTGTGTATATTTTATTTGCAGCTTGTTTTGCAACTATTTGTGGAAGTTACGTTGCACATTCTGAAGCAACAGGATATCATTGTAATTTTTTATTGTTCCTTTTGATTCTTTTCTATTATTTAGGATGCTATTTATTAATTTTAGAATACAGACAGTTTAGACATCGAGGCTGGAAATATTATATTAATTTATTTAATTGTGCAGATCTGGCATCAACTGTTTCAGCAATTTTTGTAATGTCATATTGTATTAGTCCTTCATTTAATACTAAATACGCTTTTGCTAATGCTAAGACCACCCAAGGAAATACCATTGCAATTTCTTTTACAATGCTATTATTGTGGTTTGAATTTGTATGTATCTTGTAATTCTTCTTTATAAAAAAAACTTTTTAATTGAAAATTAAATTATTTATCAAATAGATTTTATATCTTCGGTTATTATCAGGTAATATAGAAAAATTACGTTGATGATTTTCTTCATATTAAACATATTTAATTTCTACAATAATCGTTCTTTTAGAACCAGCAAAATACATCTACATTATGTTAAATGTTATTAAAGAGACTTGGATGTTTCTTTCTTTTATGATTCTTGTGATGATAGGAATAGCACATAGTTTTTTACTATTATTAGAATATCCTGATTATACAAATCTTACAGAAAAAACATCATCCTCTACATTATTTACGGGTGGTTCAAACCTCAAAATACAAAACGATTTTGATCGAACCGAAGATAACCCAGCTAAAAATTTCTTTACCTCATTTCTTTCAACATATAATTGGTTAAAAGGCGACTTTTTACAACAGGACACATGGAATTTTTGGGCAGTAAATCTTATCACTTTTATTGGTAGCATTCTTTTAGTAACCATTTTACAAAATATGTTTATTGCTTTTATGGGGTATGTTTTATTTCATTTTCTCCAAGTTTTTTTTTTTTGGAACCTAATAATTAACATAATTAAATATTTATTACTAGGGGTGTGTATTCTAAAGCATATGAGAAAGGTCGTGTTGCATTATTGCGATTTCGTGCAGAATCAATATCGGATTATGAGGCATTGGATAAAATTTATTTCTATCCTCAATCACCAGAACCAAAATATATTTATTATATAGGCAAATCCAAAAGTTATGAAGAATGGGATGCAAAGGTTAAAAAAATTAATAAGGAAAGAAACTTATATGATGATTATGAGGAGAAAATTATTGAAAGAAAATTATCATATAAGGATGAAGAAGATGATTATTCCGTTGATGATGATAATTCTGAAACTGAAAAGGATAATGAAGAAATTAACATTAATCAACTTAAAGAGATAAATAGTAAGATTGATAAATTACTTGATGCAATCATTACAGCTGATCGCCAAATTATTCCAAAACCTCGTGATTATTAAGTTTGAAATTTTGAATTTTTTTGTACTTGTTAATATTCAGATTGAAAATATGCAGTACAAACTATTGAAATCTCTTTGAAAAATGCATATTAACGCGTTCTTTGCAATTTTGTTACTCGTTTTCTTAAATAAATAAACAATGCACTTACGAAGTATAATGCATGCTAACACCACTATTTAAAATATAAACCTAGAAAGAACACGTGTATTTTTTGTGGTATTTGTGAAACTTGTGGGGTATATTTAGTAAGCGGTAACCATAAATACCTGAACTAAAGACCTGAAAAAGACTTGTATAAACGTTTGATGCAGGAAAAAAAGGATGATTTTGTTAAATTTGTTTTAACAAAATTTTTACTGTTATATTGAAGTAGAACGTTTCGAGAGAGTAGTTTAGAAAGGAATCTTTTTAATATCATCAATCCTACGTGGGTTCTGCCGGATCCAATTTCTTGTAAAAAATATAAATAAATCACGTTAACGTAAATATCCAAAAAAAAATTTTTTTTGTTTTGTTAATATTAAAATTAGCCGCACTGCTTTAACTTGTCCTTTATGGGAATAAACCAAGAGCTTTGGTGAAAGATTTATTATCTTTGTCGAAAATATACATTACAAATTTCTTCGTAAAATACCTTAGTTGAAGTAATGTGGGTGGAATTTATCAAAATTAATATTTCGTTAAGAATATTTTCAATGGCGACATGTAGACTGTATAATTCAAACAAAAATCATTCTTAATAGATTATCTTACGAAAAACGTGACTTAAGAGATAGATATTTTCAAGTAGTATTGTAATATACTGTAAATAAAATAAAGTACAAAACAATATCAAGATTTAGGATTTAGATTATTAGTAGAATGATAAGGGATACGTCTTATTTAATAGTAGAATGAAAATTTCTACAATAATAAAACAACTAATTATTGTTTGGCCACGTTTCACATGACAATCACATTTCTCATACATTTAACACTATATACAGTTCCATATAGATGTTGGTGTCAGGTGATTCTACTTTATTTAGTGGAAGCTATGGTTATTCCAAGAAAGGAAGGAATAGGTATAAATTTGGTTAACTTCATGCAAGAACTATGGGGGCCGTTTTTATTTATATTGATATCAATATTGATATCAATATCAATATCAATATCAATTTTAATATCAATATCAATATCAATATCAATTCAATTTCAATATCAATATCAATATTGATAGGAACAACTGTCATACAACTGTCATTTATATATGATTTTTTTTAAAAAAAAAATTGGGACTGAATAATTACGATTACTAATTTAAAATAAATGAAAGAATTCGTCGAAAACATATACTGCAGTAACAAAAATCCTGTTTCATCTGATAATTTCAGCCAAAGGATGATTTGATCTCGATCTAACCTAAAACTGCCTAAATCAAATAAATAAGATGAAATAAATAAAATTAGTAATCAAATTAATTACCAAAATAAGAAAAGAAAATAAAACAATTAGTCAGCTCACCTTAGCCGCGATGACGAATCGGTCGGTTCCGTTTGAAGGTTCCTAGCCAACTGATCAAACCTAAAAAAAAAGCAAATTAATTACCAAAATAAGAAAAGAAAAAAGAAATAAATCAAAAAAAAATTAGTTAACTTACCTTAGCCACAGTGATAGAACAGACGGTTCTGTTTCAAAAGTTCCGTCCGATTCTTAGCCAAAGCGGAGGAACCAATCAAACCTAAAAATAAATAAATAATTTAATAAATTATTAATAATAATTCATTAAAAAAAATTTATTATACATAAAAAAAGAAAATTGACAGCTTACCTTTGCCGTGGTGACGGACTGGACGGATCTATTTTGAAGGTTCCGTCCCTAAGTAAAAAGCCTGATCAAACCTAAATAGATAAAAAAAAAAACAAATAAAAATAAAAATATTAATAAAACAATTTAATAAAATAAAAAGAAAAGAAATATCAATGGCTTTACTTTCGCTGCAGTGACAGACTGAACAGTTCTATTTCAAAGGTTCCGTCCCTAAGTGAAAGGCCCGATCAAACCTAAATAGATTAAAAAAAACAAAAAAAATAAAAATATTAATAAAACAATTTAATAAAATAAAAAAAAAAGAAAGAAAGAAATATCGATAGCTTTACCTTCACCGCGATCGAACCTAAATAGATTAAAAAAATAAAAATAAAAATATTAATAAAAAAATTTAATAAAATAATAAAAAAAAATAATAAAAAGAAAGAAATATTGACGGCTTACCTTCGCCATGGTGACAGACTGGACGGTTTCATTTTGAAGGTTCCATCACTAAGTGAAAGGCCCGATCAAACCTAAATAGATAAAAAATAAAAATAAAAATAAAAATATTAATAAAAAAATTTAATAAAAAAAAAAAAAGAAATATCGATGGCTTTACCTTCGCCGCAGTGACGAACCAGATGGTTCTGTTTCGAAGGTTTCATCCCTAACTGAAAGGCCCAATCGAACTTAAATAGATTAAAAAAAACAAATAAAAATAAAATATTAATAAAAAAATTTAATAAAATAAAAAAAAGAATTATCGACGGCTTTACCTTTGCCACAGTGATAGACTGGATGGTTCTATTTTGAAGGTTCTGTCCCTAAGTGAAAGGCCCAATCGAACCTAAATAAATAAAAAAACAAATAAAAATAAAAATATTAATAAAACAATTTAATAAAAAAGAAAAAAAAGAAATATCGATAGCTTTACCTTCGCTGTGGTGACGAACCAGATGGTTCTTTTTTGAACCATCCCTAAGTGAAAGGCCCAATTGAACCTAAATAGATTAAAAAAAAACAAATAAAAATAAAATATTAATAAAAAAATTTAATAAAATAAAAAAATAATAAAAAAGAAAGAAATATCAATGGCTTTACCTTTGCCACGGTGACAGACCGGTCAGTTCCATTTTGAAAGTTCTGTCCCTAAGTGAAAGGCCCAATCAAACCTAAAAAGATTATAAAAAACAAATAAAAATGAAAATATTAATAAAAAAATTTAATAAAAAAGAAAATAAAAAAAATTATGTTAGCTTACCTTCGCTGCAGTGACAATCCGATCGAAGTTGTTCAAAATTATCTTAAAGATAATCAACAGAAAGTTGTGGGTGGAATTTTATTTGCATCATTTTCACTGAACATCTACAAGATATGCACCTTCAAATTCCTTTTTAAATTATATGCAATACTCTATTTCTTACTATCCTTAAAGTGATTTATATATTAGAACCGTATGCAATATTAGGAACTCCTAAATTAATGAAGAGAGTTACCTTTTCTAGAGCATTTCCTGATTCTATGGCTATAGAACTTCAACCAAAGCTTGAGAAGGCAAGCTTTGTCAAAGAAATTTATGAACTTCTTAAACCTTTGTGAATCCTACAATAATTAAATGTCCTATTATTGTGATTGGCGCTGAAGAGGATAAAGCATTTGGTTTAAAAATTATAAAAGAAACTGCTAATGATTATGGTGTTGGATTTGATATCATTGGTGGTGCTTCTCATAGCATTATGCTAAACTTTACATGAGAGGATGCTGCTAATATTGTTTTTAAAAGGATCCAAGAAAAAGTTGTAAAGAAATAATTTTCAGTAATTAACTCGATAGCATGCATATGTTCCTCAATCATTATTGTACTATTCATACCTTTATTATTCTATTATTTAATTCTATAAATAAAAAAGTTTTTATAAGATTAGATTTGAAATAAATAATGATTCAAGTCCTAAAGTCATCAAATTTTACGAGTGACGCAGCCTTACAATTATGTTACAAATATTTCATTTTATTTACGCAAAATATATTTGTTAGTATACACTATTCTAAGAAGTAACCTGACAGGATATGATAAATAAAGCATTGAACCTATCTCGTCATTTCAAGTTAAATGTTATCAATCCATTTTATACAATTAATTATTTTTTGTGATGATTGATTGATTATCTATTCTATTAAAATGTTTTTAAATTTAAAAGAGACACCACTACAATATTAACTTTTGAATGAATAATATCGACATTAAAATTTTCTGATTTATATTAAACTTAGAATAAAAACAACCACTAGAAATGATTTGAATCGATTAGATAATTTTTGAAGTATATTGTATTTCAATAAATAATTCATAATAAAAATTACAAGTAAAAAAAAAGGTTATAGAAAGTTTCGTAATAAAAGTTAGAGTAAAATTTTGTATACTATGTCTAAAATATTATTTCAGATTATCTGATGTTGTAATTTATCAAATTTAAAAAAATTTTCGATCCTTAAAATTTTGTTTTGTAGCATTACGATAATGAAATTTATTACATCAAATCATTTTTTTGAAAGATGTATATATCATTTAACACTATATACAGATAATGCCATATAGATGTTGGACGGTGAGATAAAGGACATGATTAGATACGAACGATATTTTCACTTTCGTACTATTTCCAGCAATCTTTAGAATAGTAATATTTTAGGTATAGTTTATGAAGTGATATGTCCTTAAATAATATAACATCGACGGTTTATCTTTGCCAGACCGGACGGTTCTACTCAAAGGTTCCGTTTGGTTTTTAGCCTAAGTGGAGGAACCGATCGGACCTAAAAAAATTAAAAAATAAAATAAAAATAAGAATAAAACGAAACAAAATAAATACGAAGATATTAAAAAAAATAAAAAATATTAAAAAAATTTATAAAGGTGAAGCGTAAAAAAAAAATCATGGAAATTTTCGAAATGTACAATTATTTCAAGGAAACATATTAAACACTATGAATACAAAGATTTTAGCAATCTTCAAGAAATTGGTTCTGGAGGATTCGGAAAGTTTACCATGCTAATTACAATTACCTCAGAATTACCTTTTGTTTTAAAATCCTTTTTAAACATTCGAATTTTTTGATTACATAATTTTTCTCAGCTCACTCTAATAACTTTTCATCACAGTAACAGTGTTTTTTATTGCATTGATCTCTATGTTTATTATGTGACATAGTATTACGAGATGTAATACTTTTATTCTGACATTTATTTTATTTCTGATTAAAAAAAAAAATGAAATTAAAAAACGAAAGTTTAAAAACGGAATTAAACAAAAAAAATAAAAAAGTCCGAAATCGAAATTTAAAAAATGAAAAAAAATAAGAAATTTAATTAAATCAAAAAGTTATTTTAAAATTTAATTAAAAATTCGATTAAAAAAAAATTAAAACTTACAATTAAATTATAAAAAAAATTAAATTTAAAAATTAAAAATTATTAACCCTAATCTTATTTATTTATTTTATTTATTCAAAATAGGAAATAATAAATTTAGATAAAAGTTCATTTATAGTAGATCCAGATATAATTAAAGAATATTCTCATCTAAAACAAATAACATCACAACCACTTCCAATGTAAGAAAGCATAATAATCTTTACACATGCAATAAATATACCAGCAAAATTAATAATGATATTTATAAAAATTAAATAACAAATAATAAGGCCGGCCCCTGGCCGGCCATGATCATGAATCTAGATATTCCAACAAATTTAATAAATATTAAATAAAATATATATGTTACATTCAATATTAATTAAGGCCGGCCCCTGGCCGGCCATGAATAAAAATCTAGTTTAGAGTCTAAATTTGAAAACGAAGTTTCCATAATAAATTATTATAGTAAATGGTACATGTTTTTTAGATGTACAGATCGAACAACTTCAACTTTTTCAAATTTATAAGTTTCATCAAACCATATTAACAAAGTTACGAAGCTTTTATTTCCATTTACTAGTAAGTTATCTTGCAATTTTAATTTTTCTATTTAAGGTCTGGTTTCTTCTAGGAATTTTATTATTAAAGCAAGAAATGGTCTCGTAACATTGTTAATATGGTTTGATGAATCTTATAAATTTGAAAAAGTTTGAAGAAGAAGAAGTTGTTCGATCTGTACATCTAAAAAACATGTACCATTTACTATAGTAATTTATTATGGAAACTTCGTTTATAAAGTGCTAGATAACTTGATATAGTTATGATCTACATAGTTGACCGCACACCCGTAAGAACAAATCCTATTTAGTTAGAACGTTCACTTTTAATTAAATAATATCAAAAGCTCAATATATAAAATTAAATGCATGCGAATATGTAATGTTAACAGGGTTGCTGTTCATTAACTATTTTGGTGTTTTTTTTTATGCCTATTGTATATATACTTACTATCGCGTCTAATTGCATCGACTAGATTGAATAATTCTTTGGTTCGTGTAAATGAAATAACTATATTTGAGTTTTTGCGATAAAATTAATAAAATTAATTCTTGGAACAGATCAATTCTTAGGACCGGGCAAAGGACTGACTTATGGAAATGTCCGACTCAAAGAAAGATAGTATTTTTGTCCGGACCTGATCTATTATGGCAAAGATTAATTAATTTGACAATCCTGTTATTTGCGAGGAAAGATAGTATTGGATGTGCATAGCGTAGGCAAGTGATCCTGAAATATAGCCTTGAGATTATCTTTAATAACAATAAATTTCAAGTCGAGATTATAAACTTTATAAGATTTTTAAAGCTTTTATATGATTAAAATAATTAGGTAATCACATAGTTTGATACTGATCTAAAAAAAAAAGTGTGAATCATATTGTATCTAGTACTTTCATGTTAATAATTATAATCTAGCATATTAAGATTAAAATCATGATGATATTTATATTATTAGTTAAAGGATTACAATAAATAAGATCGATTTCAAAGAAAAACTTACAAACTTTATTAGAATAAATACAGACATAAAGCTTAATTAATCAAACAAAATACATTAAAAATTTTAAACGGAGAACTAGTAAATCATAATAAATTTTTTATAAAATGTATTTTAATATCAGAAGGTTTCGATTTCTATGCCTGTCGATACCTCCAGGTTACCTTAAGCATAAATTAATTATACTGATCGGGTTCGAATCTTTAAGTCCGGGCCGGGCGGGCGGGCATTTAATACACGAATTTAAGTCCGTGCTTTAAAATTTGGATTATACAGAATACAGAGTTCATATTTAATTTTCTCCTCACTTCAGAAGTAAGCTTTAATTTAAACCTGACGCTATACAGCTTCCCTTAATGCCGACGAAGAATCCAGATACTGGTGCGTCCTTGATTGAAAAACAAACCTAAGATTCGAAGTTGACTTGAAATCAAAGCAAGCCTCCCATACCAGAATGAAACTAGCGAGAGTTAGTAGAAATTTCGAATATTGTAGTAGAAAATGAGTATCTTTATCAGATGACATATTTCGTGTTCAATTTAACTCGGATATGGGTGGTTTGCTATTAATATTACATTATGGATCATATGGTTTGCTATGTTCGTAACTTGATTTTAATAGCCTACCACCATATGTTGTTGAATGTGGTATTGTGGAATAGAGGCATACTTAAACATTCCATCATCATCATTTTTTTGAGAAAATCACTTCAAGTATTCATGAAGTATCAAGTAAAGGCCTGCATAAGTCCTAATTTAGAAACCGGAATTTAATTTCGTATTTTAAAATGATATACCGGACTTAAAAATATATCAACCCGAACCTAATCAAGTATTTTAGTTAATTGATGATACGAAATTTAATAAATCATTTACAATTTCTATTACAAAAAATAAAAAAATATTGAATTGCATTATGTAAAAACTAAAATACTATCTGTTGTCTCAGGATTTAAATTTGTGCGACGCTTAAGGATATATTTTCATAGCGTGCAGATATAAATTTTGATGAAATATTACGATCGTAATATTCCGTAATATTGTGCAACATAAACTTCTTCGCAATTTATAATAGTAATATGCAACATTCGATCTTGATTAAAAGGTTGAAGGGACAGACGCAATAATAAGGTAAGCCGTCGATGTTACAGAGGGTGGACAAAAGTATCCGCACACCCTCCATAAAACGTGAATTAATGCTAGTAAAATCATATGACTGCAATAAGAAATCACGTTCACATGACACTTAAGTGTTTATTTATATTATAAAAATAAAAGTATAAGAGTTAACTGCAATGTCTTTTCAAGTGGAAAACAATCTTCGTACATTATATTGGCCAGCTCAAAGTCCCGATTTCAATCCAATTGAGAATCTTTGGGCTGAAGTTAAGAAAAACATCCGAGCTTATGAAAAACCCCCATCTAATCTTGCTGATCTTGACCAATATGTTAAAAAGGCATGGCAAGAAATTCCGAAGTATATAAAGTTGTGGGCGAAACCAAAATCTTAAGGTCGAAACTGGACGTATTTAGCGAAACTGGACTTTACTAGCGAAACCTTCCAAAACTAGTTAGCCAATCAAAATAAATGCTGATTTAAACCTTTAATGCTAAAAATCAATAAATTAATATAATATAAACTAATTACAAAATTTATTTATTAATACATTGAAGTTGCTATATTGATAAATTAGGCTAATTAATGCGCTATTTTAATCATAATATACAATTAGCATATAATTTATTATTTATTAATTCGATACATCTAAAAACAAAAATTTCACGTTTAAAAAAGAAAAGCAGTTAAAATGAAAAAAACATATTTTGTACTTTATACTAAAAAAATTACATGTTGCGTTCCAATGACCTTTGAAATTTTCTTTCCTTGTTGAATATATGTTCCCCAAACTATTGATTTAGGTTTCCCACCAACTTTTCATTTAGGTAATGAAGTATTATTTTTTTTTTTTTTTTTTAGATTTAATGATGCAGTATTGCAATAAGGTTATTTGAATTTAAAAAGAACACACACAATCAAGGTACAGCATTCAAGAAACAAATTTTAAAAACTACCGCTACCCCTCATGCTATATTCTAAACCTGTTTGAGTCAACACCCCCCTTCAGAGGTAATGAATTAACCTCCATTTTGTAAGGTGCGAATGCATTAATGTTTGTCTTACTAACAATGTTATATATTTGATTTTCACGTGAATAATTAAGTTTCAGAGAATTTCAAATAATTGAGATTGAATTTCAGATTTGGGCAGTATCGGACTCAGACATTTCAGAAATTTTTTGTTGAGGCATAACTAATATCGCCTAGATTTCAGATTTAGATTAGGTATAATAATCAGGTTTCGCCCGAACCTTTACTCCTCTTGTGTTGAAATAATGGAGAGGGCCTTCTCGCTCATCACCTTGTTGTTCTCCTGACGATAATAAATGTTAACAAGTCAGGTAATACTATGAAATATCTTCTCATCAATTTCTTTTTTGTGCCTAATCATACCGATATAAAATTATAATTTTTTTTGAAATATTCTTTTTGTAGCGGCATAAATTGCAAATTTTATATAATCACACCAGTAAAACTTACCTTTGCATTAAATTGATTACTTCTTCATAACGACTACCACTTTTATAGGCAACTACAGCATCAGTGTACTTCTTTGTCCTTTCATAATACTCATCTTGTCATAACAAAGCGCAGCGGGTTCGTACATGTTTCATTCAGCATATATCTTACCAGCTTCTTTATACATATTGATTTCCTAGTTTTAATATCTAATTTTGATTTGATGTAAATTATAAAATTCTTCAATATATGGAAATTTATCTTAAGAATTTTACTTAAAAAAATTTAAATAAATGCCTTTTTAACTTATTATTTTATAGAACTCTGCATTTTTTTTTAAAAAAAAAAATAAACGAAAAATCTCAAAATTTCTTATTTAAAAAAAAAATTTAAAAAAAATTTCTTTACCAAAATTTGTTAATTTTAAAGCATATATTAAAAAAAATTTTGCTGTCACATTAATATTTCTATTAATATAGTCAGAACTCGATAAAATGAACTCTCAATCAAAAATGAAAAGGCAAAGAAATAAATAATCCTGATTCAATATATTATCGGGCATATCAGGTGATAGATAATATTTAGAGACATCAATCATTTTTCAAAGAAATAATTAATATTCTTAAAGTATTGTCTAGCTCTCTTTTATTGGATGATTTGAATTATTTTTATATAATATCTAAGATCAATAAATTAAGCTTTATTTGCAAATAATTAGAGGCAGAGGATTAGTGGTTTAAGAAATATTTCATATCACAATTTGCTCCCATCGTTTTAGGTTATGTTCTTTTGTATTAAGGAAAATGCTTTGGAATAATGATATAAAAAAATTTTTTTTTGATACAATTCAAAAGTATTCTCTTAGACAAGACAAGTTACACTGAAGATGATATGACTTCCTCTTTACAAACCTTTTGAACCTGTAAAATTTTATAAAAGAAATTAAGTTAGAGACAAGTATTAGAAGGACTAACTTAACAATAAAAAATAAAAACCACTTAATGTCTACTGAGCTTCCTAAAGAAAGACGTGTAAAGGAAACTTTCACCTGTAAGGTAAACACTTCAAAGAGGTTGAGTAAAAAACCCTAGGGATTGTCTCATATACAAGTACTAAACCGTCACACTTAGCTTAATGCTATCAGAAAATGCTTCTCCTTTTACACTAAAACTTTTTACTAGCCACTTCATTAAATAATAAGCAGTTCATGAAAGATCTAAACACGACTGGACAAACAGAAATTTATGATTATTCAACCTAACTATGACCTTTTAATACTCACCTAGATAAAAGAGTTTCACTTTTAACTTGTCAATAAAGCAACCTCATAAAATCTTTAACATTCAAATGTTTGGTTTTTGAAAACAAGAGATTTTTTGATATTTATTACTAAAAATATGTTTTATGATAATCCTTTAAAATACTTCTTAGCTGACACTAATATTATCAAATAAAAAAGTTATTTTTAGAACTTAGGGAACACCTAAATGCCTCACTTTAAATAGACATCATTAAAAAAGAAATAATAAATAAAAAATAAATAAACAATACTTCTATAAATATTCGTTAAACTACATGTATCTGCATTAAATACCTAGAGGTGAAAATTTGAACATTAAGGATCCAACTATCTGCCATATTAGAATGGTAAATGAAAAAAACTGATAGAATTAAAATCTTAGTATTTGTCGAACGACTAAGAAAGTGGTGCTTAGGCAGTTGGGATTCATATCTTAAAAGTCAGTGTATTAAAAGAATGGCTTCGTTAAGATAATTTTTTATCAATACGTAATAGTATTGAAATATAGAATAAATTTTCTAGGTATATAATACCTGTAGGTCAAGCAATATTTCACGAATATTAATGAACTCGTAATCAAAATGGAAAACTAATAATAATACAACAAATTCTTCATCAATAGCGTAAGAGTTATGAATAACTGCCTTAAGAAATAACTAGAAAATATGTGAAATAGAAGAAAATAAAAGAACTTAACTATTTCAAAGAAGTATCATGGAGAAGGATCACCAGTTTCCTTAATTAGTAAAATTTTCCATCCCTTTTTTTATTCTCCACCTTTCGAAAAGTTTTAGTAAAGATAGAAAGTTATTTGTAATTGGAAAACTTTTTAGGTATGGGGAGGAGAGTACGTGAAGCAAAAATTTAAATTCTTTGCTGTTTTTTTTATAATAAAAAATATGCTGCTGTAAGTTCTGTTAATTAATATTCACCCCATATAGCAATTATTAAAATAACCATCTTCGACTGCAGAATGGTCTTGTGTTAGTAAATATCAATAGAGGTTCAGAAAAATTAAATGTTGCAGTAAAACAGTATATGAATATTTGATTGTAAGAGAAAAGAAAAACACAAGAAGTCATTATTTTAAATGATCTTTTTTCAATATATACTTATTAGGAAATTTTATTTTTTTTTTAAAAAGTTTAAACTTTGATCAGGGTTACCAAAAAAATTATGTTTGAATATCCTTATAATTGCTAAATTAAAATGCAAGAATTTTTAAACTATGTATATTTTTACAATAGTGACGTATTTTTAGATTTATAGCATAATAATATAAGATTTCTGTGATAGATAATTATTGTCAAATACCACAATTATTTAGCACAATATCAGAATTAATATCAAATTGCCAAAAATTAAAAAAATCGAGTTAAAGTACATATGATCCATACAATAAGGATGTAAGTTATTATGTTCATTAATTATAATTTATAACTAAAATTGAACTTGATTTAAGCATTATCACGAGGAAAAAGATATTGAAACCAAAATAATTTCACTAAATTGATCTTCTTAAACTTAAATCCTTAATAGAAAACCAGTCTGTAAATTCATAGCTAACTACTAATGCTGTCTACTTTAAATAGTAAGTTAGAATGAGACAAGGATTTAAATGGAAAAATATTTGTAAACACAATCGATGTACAAAATCACATTTACTTTTTCACAGAATAAATATGTAATTTGAGAGGAAAATGACCTAGTTTTAGAAGTTTAATTGTTTCTATATTAAAGGATTTTGAGTAAATTAATTTTTTGATCCATACACTTTTTATCATATGATCACTGAAATATTCCAAAAAGTATTTTATTTTTTTCACTAGGAATTTATCAACGATAAAAATATAATTCATAATTAGTCCAGAGTGAAGCGGAGTCCTATATAATTCTACGCTATTTGACTTAAGATGTCTGTTTTTCCCCTACTCATAAACTGAATCGATCAATATTATTGGTTCCTATTTATGCATAAACTAAAATAGTAAAATAGTATGTTATTATTTACGTTTTTAAATTTAAATTAAACTCAAATAAATTATACACTAAACTAATATAAATATACCACTAAAAATATATCACTAAAAAATATACCACAAAAAAAAATACCACTAAAATAAATCACTAAAAAATAGCATAAAAAAAAATTTTGTGAAAGTTTACAACATCTGATGTTCATCTTCACTGATAATTTGTGTTGCTTTTAGCCTAACATCAGTTTCTTTCACAGTTTCTTGACATTCTTGATTATTACAAAGATGTGAATTACGTTTTTATTTACTTTTATGAATAAGACAGTTCCTATGTTCCTCAGATGTCTCCATTAAATTTCTTTGTATTTTACGTTCATGAGAATTTTTAATTCACGCATCACGTTCTTCTTTAGTTTCATTAGCTTTTTTTGCAATTTTTTTTCACGGTTACGGCTAAACGTACTTCACGCTATTCATTTGTTTTATTCTTTTAGCTATTTCTCTTTCAGAGTATTTCAGAGTTAGTACTTCGTTTATTCATTGTATAGAAAATTTAAATGCACAAATCTTAAGCAATTTTATTATCTTTATTATAAATACTTTATTATGAATACAACTATATAATTAAAAATCTTTATTAAAAATAAAAATACAATATTATTCAATTTACATGATTAAAATCTATTCTTTAACACTAACAAATCTGAATAATAAAAAGAACAATTAAAACAAAAACAATTAACATATTAACAATATACTTTATTATTTCAAATGGTTACAGTACATTTTCTAGAAAGCCATCTTACCGAATAGACATTTTTCGAAAACCTTGGGCAGAGTTATCATAATGTAGACAAGCTTTCAGGAAAACGTATTTTCAGAAAAATGGCTTTCGGAATAACATCTGACATCAGGTTTCAAATCTAATTTTCTGAAGTGTCAGCATCTTGATTGGATAATAATCAGCATTTTACTTCAGAAATTTTTTGTGTCATGTGTATTAATTTTTTTGTATTATATTAGTTAAGAAATAATAATCACGTAATATACAATTCATCGTCCTTTATTGGTTAAAACCTTAGCTTAGGACTTAACACTGGCTTGCCGTTTTCTAGTTATTTCCTACAGCATTTTTGTATTGATGAAAAAAATATACTGTATAATACTTTCATAAGCAACTAAATTTCAAACGGAATATCAAAGCTAATCATTGAGCCAAATTCTAATAAATTAAAAATCATTTCTCCTGTCCTTTTTGTTAAACACATTAAGATGCATAAATTCAAACTTGTAATGCAATTAGGGATGGGAACGGTCCGATCCGGTCCGATCCAGTCTGATCTTTAGCAGTCTTTGAAAAAGATCGGATCGAGACTGAGACCAATGGTCTCATAAGATCATCGGTCTTTTAATTTAGACCAGTCTTTTAGACCGTTGCTCTAATAAAAAAATTTAACAAATATGTCGCGAAAAAATATTTTATTGAATAATGTTTATTAAATTCAAAATTACTATTACTCTATATATTGATATATATTCTAT